TATATATATATATATATATATGTGTGTGTGTGTGTGTGTGTGTGTGTGTGTGTGTGTGTGTGTGTGTGTGTGTGTGTGTAGGTATAGATATTGTAAAATGGTGTTATTAAACTAATTTTTGCAATGGTAACTACTGTCTGCAGGTTTTTAAAACAATTCTAATTTGGATTAATTTCATAATTTTAACATAGTATCTGTTCTCAGCCTCTTCTTGCCTTGATTCAAGCAGTCATATTTCAGGTTTAGATTCTACAACGTAAGTCAGTTTGAAATTACTATCTCAGTTATTAATACGACAATATTTGAAAGAGTTTTAACAATAAGTTTGATCAAATACACAACAAACAAAGAACTGATTTAAGCACTGACCTTAATTTAAAACTATTATTCACCTATGCAAGAAATACTAGTAATGAAATTTCTAAAAAACAGTTTAATGTAAATCACCATAACCAAACACATTTAACGTCAATTGCAAATGTTAGTGCTTTTCTTCAATCGTCCAACAGCACGACCGTCTCAGAACGGCGCTGCACTACATGCCGATATTTTGTGTTGTAATCCCCCCAAAACGATTAAGACAGAAAAATTACTGCCATTTCAATTTTTAAAAACTGCAACTAATCATCGGCCTAACATAACTTTAGAAATAAAATGGGTTTTACACTATCAATTATAATATATAGGTACTTCACCTATATCTTACACTTTTTCAATCAGTCCTTGATGTGCAACAGTGTAAATGTTAATATTAATAATAAAAATTATGTACAGTGAAGTAGACAATGATTACAAGTTTTAATTGACAGATTTCCTTTAGCCCTGTATACAATTATGTAAAGCAATCTTAGATCATTTTAGCATTTTATTCGGCAGATAGTTTTAGGCGCCTGTTAAAATGTTTCCAATAGTGAACTTTCTTTAGTGTTATTATAAACTATCTTGCCTGCTTTTTAGTACTTTATCTATCTGGGAAAGATAAGAGGTGACAGAGCACAAACAATAACACAGATACAGTTCAGAATTTTAATAACAACATAGTGAAATACATAGAAAAGATAGTGTAGAAAGAGTACTCAAGATAATAAACAACCCCATTACAGATAGGGGAAGACAGAAGAAAAAAAAAACAAGTTACAAAAACAAATACATAATGTGATCAACTTGGCATATAATAGGCTAGCCAATGTGACATAGATAGAAAAAAAAAGGCTATTACCATACATCCAACTTTTTTCCTGAATATACCATTAATCTAAACACTTAAAAATTATTAGAAATTCCCAATATTCAAAAGAACACTTTCCACCACATTACAGGAATGAAAAGAAATTCAGAAGATGTAGATATGGAGAGAGAAATAAAAGATTACATTCATGTATGTAAATGCTAGTAACATTTCCATTCAAATAAAATCACTAGTTTGCACATGAGAAATGTCCAAGTTATTCCAAAAATAGATGGACGTCAACCAAATGCTCATAATATGAAAGATTCATAAACATTATAAGATCCAGTGAGATATGTAAAGCATTTCTTCTGTGCTCGTATTAACTAGCTGAATTTCTGTAAATTTTCTTCTCATAGGTAAATGGAATGACAGGGATGTGCTAAAATACAACTTTTATTTCAAAAATTTTGTCTTTCTGATACAACTAAATGTGAAAGCTCATTTCTTGATAGGGTGCTAGAAAAACAAAAGCACCACCTTTATGGTAAAGGCACCTATTTTGAGGAGGGTTTCTTTATAATATTTAAATTTTCATCACATTCTTCTATACATAAAAGGTCATTCACAAATTATGTAGTTAGTAACGGAGAGTTAAAACTTTACCAGAGGGATGCTCAGTTTCATATGGGATGATTATAGCTACAGTAATATTTATTTAAGTAATTTACCATAACAATGCAACAATAACAACCTGATAAACCATAAGGTCACAAGTTAACTATTTATGAGTTTCTAGTTAAATAACATGCAGTTATCTTGTACACAGTTACATAACTTATGAACAACCCCTTATATCTATAGCTTTCAGTCATGATTTTGAGAAAATATGTAACAATGAAAAAATTCTTGCACAACTTTCTGAAGCATTTATTCAAATACATAACCAACAACAAACCAACACATTTTTAACATTAAGCAATTTTGTTTCTGTTTACCTTTTCTTTTAAAAATTATATTTTCTAAAATGCACGATTTCTTTAAACTTCACAACTGTGAATACAAAAACATTTAACAAATATATTTCCGTTTTTTTTTGGGGGGAGGGGCAAATGTGTTTTTTTTTATCTCTTCTTAAGCAAGTTAAAACTACAATAAATACAGATTTACACACAAGATGTGCTCTGAAAAATATGTAAATACTGATTATTACTAAGTTCATTTTAGTTAAATGCATACATTGAAATATTTCAAATAAGCCACTATTTTATCGTAAGATATCAAAACAAATTATCTAGAAAAAGAAAAACTGGAACTTGTTACTGTATCAAATGAGTTTTAGCTAAATAAAATTAAAACATTGTACTTAGTAGCTTAAATCATCATAATACTTGTTTTGCATAAAATTAGCTAAACTTAATTTGAAGTGTAAGGACAGCTTATGTTAATGAACGAGACTTTATTTGAAATGGAGCTAGAGGTCATAAAGCTATAAGTATATGTAAGTGCATTTAAAAAACAGCAGCAATACCAATAAAAGATAATGACAAGTTATCAATGCACATGTCACATCCATATCTATGTAATTTACCCTGCCATTTGTTATTTAACATACAAGCATGAAAAACATTTTACACATGAAATTTTAAATATGTAAAATTACCTTTTCATTTTCTTTACCACTGTCTTCTTTGGTTTTAACAATGCAATTAAGTCAATTTCTGAATACTAAAAATCAAATAATGTTCTTTATATATCATGTCCCTATTAACCAGTACTTGAAGAATATTCTTACAGGTTAGCTAATAGTTTAATATCCCTCTAGCTAATATGTCTTATTGATACCTGTATTTTATGAAAAAATGTTGTCACTAGATATGAAAATAGAGATTTACAAACACAAATGGCATTAGCTACAACCTCTTAAAGTTGCACTAGGAAACATACAGAAAGCCTGAAAAAATATGATATAAAAAGTTCCATACAAGACATTTAAACAAACTGCTCACAAAACGCAAGTCTTGATATTAAGTATGAATACCAAGAAACAGTTAAAAACCTATAAACACCTGAAAAACATCCCTTCTGATTGTGACAGGCTTTTCTCGTGTACTCTGTAAAACTGATTTTTGTCTCTCTTAGAAATTGGTACTGTTATGAAGCAAGTTTTTTGTAGAACTTCTCATAGCTTAGCAGTGAATGTCCTACAGGTTTAAAGAAAAGTCAGAGAGAATAACAATAAAAGAAATATTTCTCCTGAGACTGCAGTACTGATCGTGTTGTTCTACATTCTGGTTCTGTTTCTGGTGATATAACTCATCACAAACCAGAAAGAAAACCATCTCAATCAAAAGGTTGTTTCATGGTTTATAAACCATAACATTTACTGAATGAAGCTGCAGAGGTGGAAGGTCACTGTTCAAATAGTTGATTTGGAGAAAGACACTCTTAGATGACTGGAGTCTGTTAACTGGTAATTGTGCATTTTCTGTATGAAAACAAAACAACAAACATGTCCATAACAACTTCTAAAAATGGTTGAACAGAAATACGAAACACAAGTTTAGGTGTAATTCCAATAACCCATAAGTCAAAGCAAAAGAGAATATGTTATAACCTGATACCAGGACTCAGACTGACTGTGATAAGACAAACATATATACATCATCAATATTCATAATAACAATGGCCCAGGTTAAGTAGGTGAATTGTAGTTATTATCAATTTTATACAAGTTATTTACAAACCCAGTTTTCAGAGTAATAATTAACAACACAACATTATGTATTTTATTTATATATATATATATATATTATTTAATTTTTAATTAACATTACTATCATTCACAAGAACTGGCAAACCAGCAACCACAGCATCAATGTGACAAAACTACATTAGCTAAGAACACACAAGTGAAAGCAAAGGAAAATATGTTATATGTTAACCACACTACTCTGCCTCATCCAGCACTGACAAGACCTTTTCCTAATACCATGATCATCAGGTCGGCTGAGATATGACAGACACAGTAATTCATGATAATGATCACTTGGATAATCTTGTAAGTTTCAATAAGATTGTGTTATCATAAATTACCAAACAACATAATTTACTTATAAAGTTCACTGCATTTAGTCTAGGAAAATTCAAATGCAAAACTTTTAGTTTATTACTTTTCATATTCAGTGACAAAAAGTTGAATCACACTACTAATTCTATCTTAATCTAAATTCCTATAAATGTACAAATACAAGAATGGATAATGACAATACAAGAACACTGGGAAGCCATATCCTGTAGCATTTATTAATAAGGGTAACTTTTCAATTTGGAAATTCAGTGAGACAGCAACATAAAGATGGCAGCTAATACTGAAAGAGCTGATGATATTTGAAACAAGTAATAAATAATAATATTACAAAAAATAAGGATGATGTAGGGATGGCAATGCCAAAAAGTACAGAAACAAGGTAGGGATGAACACACCAAACCATACAAATATCCCTACATAAGTAGCCAAATCTTTTCAAGTGTTGAATTCCTTTCAAGTGCATGAAATCTTATAATGGCTAATTTCCATAAGCTTGTAACATTGACTTGGTGGCTACTTATGTCGGGATTTTTGTATGGTTTTGTGTATTCACCCCTACCTTGTTCTGTACTTTTGGCTCTGCCATTCCTGCATCATCTTTTTTTATTACTTGTTTTCCCTCTTTTATTAAACAATACCAATAAATATTTTATAATGAATAGCAGTCGCTATGAAGGCAGCAGTTTTAGCCTGGTGTGGTGAGTTGTCTTGATGGACATCATGTGTTTAAGTTAGAGAAACTAATACTGTTTCTGCACTCCCCAAGTTAAACTGCAACATTTTGGTGTGTAAATCATCGTAACAACTTCAAGCATTGGTGAACTTGCTGTTCTGATGCAAGAATCAGAATAATCAACAGAACATTTGACTGTTACGCTACTCACCAGTTCTCTACTTTAGCAATAATTTTTCGCTAAACTGAAGATCTTAATAGGTTTTGAAAACCTAAAAAAACCTAAGTTAGGTGCTTATAAATGTATCTTACATTGTTATAAGAGAGATTTGAGACTATGATGAGCAATACATAATATGCATTGGCCTCTTTTTCCTAGCCCATCCCTACATATCAAGCACTACCATGCTTAGCGATAAACTCTAGAAAAGGTTTCAGCTGGATAAGTGACTTAAATAAAAACATCTTAACACATACTATTCTTCATAAAAAAAAAGTTAACAGCCACCACTTAAAAGCTTATTTTCATACTAAAAAAAACACTTCTAGCTTGACAAAAGAGAGTGAGGAACTCATTAAATACATGCTTTAAGCAAGTTGTTTACATTAAACCTAATCATGATAAAACATCTAGTGGTTAAAACTTGGAAAATAACAGAAGTAGAAAAAAACAGAATACAATGCAAGCTTTAGAAAGACAAGACAATACAAGAATAAAGGTGGCCATTAGTATTAAAAGAAAAATAGCAAAACCAATAGGGTAAAATAAAAGAACATAAATATTGATGTATGTTCACTAGAACCTTCACAAGACAGAACCTATACATTGATTACCTTAAACATAATTTTTACTAGCAGGAAAGTAGCAATAGTGTCTGAACAGTTTAAAATTTTACATCAATTTAAACATACACAAAAAAACAATTTTTTACTAATCACTTTGTTATGTACATTAAGTACATAAGATCTATTATGCAAAACAACTTTGTAAAATTGTAAAAGAAAAAGGTTAAACTTACAATCAAGGCATTCACTGACTCTTCAACGGATCCCATCTGAATTAGAGCCATTTTTCTATCCTTTCTGCAGAAACCAATGAAATATCTTTTTGTATCATAGCTATAACACATTTTCTTATGCAGCTGTTTTATCCCACAGAAAGTAGTTATTCATATTTTACAGACTATACATGTATATATATATAACATTTTAATATAAAGCAGTCCAATCTTACAGTTAGAATAAATATAACAGCTGTTCTTTTTACAGGCATGATATAAATAATAATACAATCTAATATCTTCTTATATTAAGAATACTGGGGTTAATCACACTTTATATGAAAGTCACTTCAGGTCACGTTCTGCTCTTGAAACTACTTTCTTTACCAATGATAGTGCTTAATTTGATGGTCACAATTTTCAATGTAACTAGCTTCCATGAATGATGACAAAAAAAAATCAATATTAAACCATACGTCATGACAGATTTGATACTATATATGAATGTTGGCTTCTAGCCAAATGAAAGGTGCAAAAGTCCACTGAAGCTGCGCCACATGACTTGACAAACATTGTCAAATTGTGTTGCCTTTTTCATGAAAACAGTTGTTGATTTGGAGTTGTGGCTAGAACTTCTATCAACTTCAAATCCTTATCTATTATTTTTTAATAGAAGGGTCTGTTTTTGTTATCACAACCTTTATTTTGTGACTGAGGGTATTGTTCCAGATCGGCTTAAGGGTTGAGTCACACAGTCAAAAGCAACATTACAATACTTACTATGTCACCTTTATGTTGACAAACTCTCAAAAATCAGCTCATTAGTTTCATATAATTGATTAAATACATCTTGGAACAGCTAGATAACAAAGTGAACAACTTAAAAGTACATTTATGAATATTAAGAAATGAAACTGAAACTTAAGTAACCTATTAAAAAATACCTTATTACTATTAGGAAAAAAAAAGTACTTAAAACATTTAAATATTTATTTTTAAATAAACTAAATCTCTCTTTCATTTTGATTTTTTACCAAGTAAGTTCTGCATCTTGGAAATTTATTTGTTTTTAAGTACCAAGATACACAATGGGCTACCTGTGCTTTGCCCACCATGGGTATCAAAACATACCATTGAGAAAAAATGCAACAGATGACTTTGATATAAAGCTATTCCTCTGTCACTGGTATGGTAATTTAACGAAACTTAAGAAAAACTTACTAAATAGTATCTAATGGTATAATTTGATTTAGTTTTACTGTCATTTTGTATGCTGTGAACTTTACAAATTTTAGACATTGTTTTGAAGAGACATTAAAAATATCTCCTTTCATCTTAGAATTAAACTTTAAATTTTCATGAGAAATTTCCATTTTTATATATCTATTAAGTTTCAACAGGATTGACATTCATTAAAATATTTGTTTTGATACTTTGCCAATTGCAGTACTTATCACTTCCAAATATAAAATGTATAAAACACCACAGAAACTGACAAGGATTTAATGGTGAGCTGTCACAAGAGCTTTGGAAACATCATCAAATAAAACTTGGTTACAATATTGTTAGTCAAGATCAATTTATATCTAATAAATATAGTTTAATTCCAATAAATTAAAAGTTATTTGGTGTATATGTGTTTTATTAATAAGATTAACATAACAATAACATTCAATATGTAAGGATTTGAGTCATCAGAATATTTTGCCATTGCCTTCCATAGTCAATAAACCTAACTAGGTTTATCTGAAAATGTTCATAACTTTCAAACAAATATAATTTAACACAAACATTTTCAGGAGTGAAAAGAATGTACAAAAAACTATAAACAAAACAAATCCCTGAACTGTAGTTTGTTCCTAAGTCTTTTAAACTTCCCACTAGCTTCTGTTGTTGTTCTTGAAACTATGTGCTGCAAGATCATGAAAGGGCAAGAATGAGGAGCTCTAACAGTAAAAGCTTGAAAGGGAAGGAAAATCATGTGAGAAACAAAACATGAGTAATTAAATCCTCAAGGGATAATAGCTTCTTAACAAGTTTAAACCTATGGTTTGGGTTGGTAAAAAAGAAATCTAAAGAAAATTTATAAGGGTGTTGTTTACAGCGAGACACCCCGGAGCTGTGCAAAGATGCAAGTTATAAACAAAGTTTCAATTTAAAAATATTTTTGAGCTGAAATAGAGTTAGAATTATTATTTTTACCTGAATTTTGAAATTTGATATGAAGATATACATTCAACAACTGAAAAGTGCTCTCTGGATCTAATAGGGTTAATATAAAACAATCGCTTCCAATAGAAACAATGAAATATACTCACTGAAAGAATTTAAAGGCTATGACTTTCCCTCCAGTGTTTTGGAAGGCATCCTTTATCTCTTCTTCAGTCACACTTGCCCTAAAAATCAAATATACAATAGTTTGACAAGACCACTCTTTATAGATGTCTTGTAATTTGTAATATTCAAAAGAAAAAATACATTTATATATTAACTATTAACCCTATCACAATGGGTGCCTGTATTTTACAGACCTGGTAACCACCATGTACCCATGATGGTATACATACTACAACTCTGAAAATATTGAATGTATCTTCATGAAATTTGGCAAACTTTACAAAAAAAAATCAGGATTTTTAATTAAGTATTTTTTTAAATTTCTCTTTAATTATATGGTATCAGTGTTGACTGCTCTGAGTGCAAGGTGAGTTTTACGTTAAGACTAAAAATACTTTTCTTCAACAGAAAATTTTCAAGTTTCGTTTGCATAGTTCCCCTCCTAAACAAATATCAAATGTTTTTTGTTTTTTTTCCAGAAAAACTATATTTTATCTGTTATTTTCTCTACCCTACCTATATATACGAGTGTGACCAATTTGACTTACCTCATAACCACCAAAAGAAATTGAAATAAATCTAAATTACCTTTTTTTTCTATCTGGAATGACTGCAAATTTTAACAGAAAACCACAATTGTTTATCCTAAGTAGCTTAACCCTTTTGCCACAGGTATCCTTTACTGCAAATGACACAAAGTTTTAGTGTCTTACATTCAAAGTTTTATTAAACTACTCTTTGTTTATGTTATACCAATTATTGTAGCATAAAATATTAGCTATTTTAATAGTATATAAGTTTTATAATGTAATGTTTAAAAAATCCTGAATTTCCCCTAGTTTGACACACATAACACATTTTCTCTAAGTACTTCTCATCTATATTTTATCCATCCCCACCAGAAACTACGAAGTTAAACGTAAATTACTCACTATAAAATCATCATTGCTCAGACAAACCATAATTTTTATAGCCTTCAATTTTGTTTGTTTACAGAGCTATCAAATAGGAAATCAAACCCCTCCTGCCACACCCTCTCATTCAGGATTTGTTAATAGTTTTCTCTTATGTTTAATTATATGTTACCTATAATCAATAGAAAGCCAAGGTTTTCATCTATCAAATGACATTTTCTATTACATTATGTTCTGAACACAAGAAAGTTAATTTCACCTGTAATACAACTTTGTTTTCCACGGGAATGACAACAGGTAGCTTGGATGAAGTTGTAACAGCT